TAAACTCTGCCAAATACCCCTGCGGGGGGTGCTACCCATAGGACCCCCCACCCAGGGCCCACCCCTGATTCCCCCCCGCAGCTGCTCCCCATGGGGGTGAGGGCTGGCATCCCCGTCCCTCACCTCCATGACGAACTGTCCTGCATAGGTCCCGGTCATTGTGGAGCTCTGTCCCGCTGCCAGGATCCCGATGGCCCAGATGTAGAGTGCCACCGCCCCGAAATAGCAGCCCAGGATGACGCCCTGTGTGGGGACACTCCCATGGGCACCCCAAAGCATCCCCCGCCCCAGGCACCTCCAGCAGCTCCCAGCCTTCCAGTGAGGTTGCAGAAGCCCCCAGCCCCATGGGTCAATGGTGGGGGAGTGCTATGACCCCAGAGGAGCACGGATGCCCACTGGGCACAGCCCGGGGCCACTCACCCCCTGGTAGATATCCACAGAGACCGTCTCGTTGTTGGCAGGGAAGATGCCGGCGTAGTGGCTGACGCTGCTGTTGACGCACTTGTTGTGCTGCAAGGCACGGCGGGCACGAGCACCTGCAAGGCAGGGCGGCCACGAGCATTACAGCCCCCCAGTAGCCCCCACAGACATGGGGGGGCCCCCCCACCCCATGTCTCAGGGGACGAGGGCATCCGCTCTCCAAGGGGTGCTCGTCCTGCCCATCTCCGCAGCTGGGCACAGCCGTCACCTCCCCACGGGCACAAGGTGACACTCACCACGTCCTCGTTTCGCTGGTGGTAGAAAGCCTCGCCAAAGACAGCCATGACGAAGAGGTTGATGAGGAAGGAGACGAAGAGAGCCAGGCAGGACTCAGTCAGGAAATACATGTTGGCCTCCCGCATCGCCTCCTTCTTGGTCCGGTCGATCGCCCGTGTCTGGGCATGACGGGTGACATGGGTGCCACGGGGTCAGGCGAGCACCCCTGTCCCACAGCCAGGACCAGCTGGGGGACCACAAGTGCACCCCGAGTCACCCTGGGGGGCCAGTGCCCGTGGCATTGCCTCGGTCTCACCTTGACCAAGGAGGAGTGGAGGAAGATGTTATGGGGCATAATGATGGCGCCGACGATGCCGACGGCCTGGAGCAGCTCCTCTCGCCCGCAGCCCGGGCAGTAGGGCAGGAAAATGCCCTTCAGCACCTCCACCTGCCCTGGCCTCACCACCACGTACTGGGGACCGGGCGGAAGGGGCACTCTGAGCAGCCCCCCACCCCGGTGCCAGTGGCGATGCCTGGAGCAGCCCCCCACCCGGGTGCCAGTGGGGATGCCTGGCGGGTGTCCCCTGCCAGAGCCCTGCAGGGAAAGGGGTGTCCCCAGCTGCCCCCTTCACCTCGTAGCCGAAGGTCAGGGCCATGATGGTGATGAGGAGGCCGAAGAAAGCCTCCAGTTTGCGGAGCCCTAGAGGGGTCGAGAGATGGGGTGGGACAGAGCGGGGGACACCAGTGCCACATTGACACCAGGGCTGCCCGGGCGAGCGTCCCCCCCAATCCCTCCACCCTAGCACTCACCGTACTTGTCGAGGAAGAGGAAGAAGAGGGTGTCCATGATGGTGATGAGGACCCCACCCCAGAGGGGGATGCTGTGGGATGGCAAGGGGGGGCATTAGACACGTGCCCCTCGGC